TGGAGCCAAACCATGTCCTGGGATTAAAGCTGACCAGCTGTGCATGCTGAGACAGGAGTAAGGAAGGAGAAGGGGAATGGACCTTGCCCACAAACATATACACCTGCCAGGACTCAGGCAGGAGCACTACTGACACACTCCAAAACAAGGCCTAAAAACCTTCAAAGGATTCAGGGCTCCCCCATGGAAAGGCCAGCAGCCCTTCCTGTGAGACAAAAGCAACCTCAGCTCCTGCTCGCTGTTCTTATCGCAGTGGAGTTTCACAAGTGTCTGTCATTGCACAGAAGCAGATATCTGATTGTGGGAGCCTTTAATTAACAAAGGCACAACCAAACCCACCAACGGGAAACCGGTTTCAGAAACTCAAATGGAAACAATACTTTTTAACGACAACAAACAGACACACAGTGAGGCAGTGCCTAAGCTGGTGCTTGCCATCTTTCTGAGGGAGCCCACAACATTCCTCCACAAATAACCCAGGCATTGGATCTGGCGCGGAGCAAACTGCTAAGCACCTCCCAGCGTGGCATCCAGCCCTGCTCCCAGCAGCTGGCCCCCTGGGCACGGGTAAGGGCTGGGCATGTGGCAAAGGGTCTGTTCACAGGCTCCCTCAGGACAGCTGAGCTCACGAGGGGCCATGAACACCCCTGGCCCTGGCAGTTTTGAGCTCTTTTCCACACACCATACCCACTGTGGGGAGATCAAGGCTCCAGGAACAGCCTGTACTGGTCAAATGTAGGAACAGTGTGTCCTAACTTCAGTGGTTTTCAGGCAGAACAAGAGCCTAAGTCCAGGCCTCCAGTACTCCACAAGAGCATCCTCAGACTAAACACAGTGTGCAGTCACGAAACACCTGTTGGCAAGATGTTATCTGGAGTCACAAGCTAATTTCCTGGCAAGAAATGAATCAAAAATTCTGCACAAAAATCCCCTTGGATACACTTCTTGGTGAAAAATTTTATAAGTTTTCTAAGCAGCTATCAATGCTGTCTCCACTTTTCCTGATCTAGAAAAAAAAGAAATTAATCACCTAATTAGGACCTTGGACCATAATCAAACTCAGGACTGAGGCAGGATACAGCCACAGCTCACTTGTGGTCAGGACCCTGTGCTTGATCCAGAAGAAATGTGTGCCATGTTCTTGCCATTGCTACACAACCCACGTCTGTGTGGGGAGGCCCAGGACACTGAACAGGACTCTGCAGGAGATCAAAGCCCTGGAGACAGCTGAGGTGCCCTGACCTTAGTATGAACAGAGGCCTCTGGACACCTGAGGCAGACACTGGAACAGGCTGCCCAGGGAGGTGGTGCAGTCACTGTCCCTGGAGGTGTTTAAGGAAAAACTGGACATGGCACTTGGTGCCATGGTCTAGTTGACAGGGTGGTGTTAGGTCACAGGTCGGACTCGATCTCAGAGGTATTTTCCAGTCTTAATGACTCTGTGATAGGATGGCAGCAATTGGTCCCACACATGCCTCCAGCCCAGGAGCACAGAAAAAAAAAATCACTTCTCTCTGTATTGTTTTCACCTGGCTGGAAGTGTTTCTGCTACCTCATTTTGGGGCTTGAGCATTCAGGACTAAGGACACATATAGTGCATATGTGGTTTCTCAAATGCAATCTGTCTCATTTCATCATTTTCTTCTCCTTGCCAGAAGTTTCCTAGAGGTCAAGTAGGAGGAAGGTGGTACAAATCCAGTAAATTAAGTTTTACTCTACTGAGAAACCAGAATCTGCATGTTTTAAATACTGCTGGCACAGAGTGTCTGGCCCTCAGAGAAGCCAGTCTTTGCACCAAACCAAATTCCAGCTTCCAAATTCCAGCACTCCCAGGGATGAGGATCACATAGATCACATCCAAGATGCACAGCAGGTTGCCCAAGGTAACTCTGAAAGCTTCCATTTTAAGTTTTCCAGCTAACATCTGTCAGGAACAGTTTTGATCAAGCTCAGCTTCCCACAGACCTGGCAGGTTCTTGGTGGATCCTGGGGAGAAGACAGACCCTTTCAAACTAGTTTCTGTGATACTTTGAGCTGCTGCTTTGAAGTTCAGCAATGTTACTCATTTCAGAGGGCTGACTACTGTAGTGAAGACAGACTTATGTCACGCCACAGCCTAACAGTGATGTGTATCAGTACCATCACCCTCTCTCGGGGCAGGTCTCCCAAGAGCAGGGGCCAGTGACTCCGAGTCCAACTGGCAGCACTCGCTGCTGGGACTGACACTGAAGAGTCAGTTCTGGGGCTGCTGATGCTTTAATAGCTTTGCTACTGACCTGGATGATTGGATGGAGTTTATGGCAGCAAGTGAGTCTGCAGAGGACGCCAAACTGGGAGGAGTGCTTCATAGACTGAAGGGCAGAGCTGCTCTTCAGAGGGACCCAGACAGGCTGGAGGAACAGGATGAGAGGAACCTCAAGAAGTTCAATGGCAAGTGCACAGCCCTGCCCCTAGGATGGAATGACCCCAGGCTGGAGACAACAGGGAAGAAAGCAGCTTTGCAGGAAAGGAGCTGGAAGTGTGGGTGGACAGGCAAGCCAGGAGTCAGCAGTGGCCAGCTGCTGGCAGGAGCACCAGCCAGCAGGGGCAGGGAGGGATCCTGCACCTCTCTCTGCTCAGCACTTGTGAGACCTCCTGGAGAGCTGGGCCCAGTGTGGGTTCCCCAGCACAAGGACAGCCACATCCTGCCCAGTTCAGGGGAAGCTGTCACAATGGTTTGGGCTGGAGCACACAACACCTAAGGAGAAACTGGTTTGTTCAGCCTGGAGGAAAAGCAAAAGGAAGATTTTACTGTTACCTGCTACTGTCTATAGGGAGCCACAGAGACACACAAGAAAAGCTGAAAGGCAACAGGCACATGAGAAATTCCGATGAGATGCAAGGAAAACTTTCACATTCAGCACTGGAATTGGAAGTGCCACCACTTCTCTGGCCTCAGCTCCGGAAACAATGAAACCTGTACTAACTTCAAACTCAACTCTTCTTTCAGCAGGGGGTGGACAAAGCAGCCTCCAGACATCCCTTCCAGCTCCATGACCCAAGGAGCCCGTGAAGCACTGCTTCTCATGAGACCTCACACTTCATGGGAAAGTGCATCAAGGACATATGCCTTTCAGTTTTCTGACCTATGAAACAGGGCTGACAGGATTTCCTTATTTGAGCCTTTGCTGCCTAGCAGGTACACCAAATAACCCACTTTTTCAGTGTGGAATAGATGACTTGGCTCTTCAGAACACAGAGCCTTCCCCAGCACACACAAACAGGAGAGAGGCACTTCTGCTTCCATACTTAGCATTTTGTTTCAGAACTCGCTTGTGATGCTGTCGGAGGCTGTGTGCTTTCTTCAGATCTGAAATGCTCAGAGCTGCCCCAAAGTTTCTAGCAAACAAACTTAATACTTTCATTTTACACCAGAAGCATAACAATTATCTGGGAAATCTCCCTCCTACAGCCTACAGTCTGTATTTTGGGTGGCTTGATGATCTCACCACAGTTACTCAGGTTCAATGTTGCTTTTAAAAACTGTCATGTAAAAGCCACTGAGGTCAATTTTTCAGCTAGGGCTCACTCTACAGCTATTTGTCCTTAAATACAGAAAAACAAAGCAGTTGAAAGAGCAGGAAAGGAATCTTCCATCTTCTCTCTCCCAATCCCCTCTTAACCACACACTGCCAGACCTTGAGACACAACCTACCAAGTACAACTGCTCTCACCCTGCCAGGCCCAGTTGCAGTTCTCTGCTGCTGCATTTCCCAGCTTCTACATAATCCTAAAATGGTCTTCTCAGGAAGAAAGACACCAATAGCTGCCTGGACACTGCCTCTTGCTGTTCTTTACTCCACAGCACATCCCACAAGGGGAATGCAGGGAAGCCAGGATGTGACACTGCACAGCCCCACGGTACAACACTTGTCCAATATAAACAGTCATGGGGGTCAAGAAAGGGAGTTATAAAAACAATAACTGGGAATAAACATCAGGGAGCTGCACTCCTTCAGTCCTGGGGGTCCAGCAGGGAAGGAAACTGACCAGGAAATATGAAGCTCTTCTATCCAAATACATCCCAAACAGAGGAAAACTAGAAAGGAGAGGACCCATGAGCTTCCCCTTTCATATTCCTCCAGAGGAAGTTGTTTCAGTTCCACTATCTGGAAGCACAATAAGTAAAGTCATACTTCAGCAGGTACCTCCAAATGTGAGGTTAAAACCAGGTCATACAGTAAGACATTTTAATAGAAGTCTCAAGTTACAACAAGCCTGTTCCCACAGCTGACTGAGGAATACAGTAGAGCACCTTTGAGACAGCAGGTGTAGTTTCTCCTTTTTCAAACAGTGATATGCACAGCTACCGTGTGGAGAGGTGTGGCTGCATATTTTTATGATGAATACAAGGCTCCGTAGTTTTACCAGGGAGTAAGACAAGACAGTTGTCCATGCTGCAAATCCAAGAGTCTCCAACACCAAGACAGTGAGTTGGTGTATGTATTTGGGAGTTGTTGTCCCACCCTGGGGACAATCAAGTGCTCCTGGGATGGCTGTGTCGTTACCTGTACCCACAGGCACAGTAGGTGCTTCTTGTCACAGGGCCAACTCCTACAACATCTGATCACTACTGCAAGACAGGGGTAAGTCAAGGACTAGGCTGGGTCAAGGAAAACACTTCTCACAGGCCTGATTTTATTGTGTGTTTTGCTAACTCATGAGAGATTCCTACGACAGTCCAAAAGACAGGCTAGAAAGGACCTTTCCCTTTTTGGCTTGTGGTCTCAGAGTTTTTAATCAGAAGTTCCCCTGGTAGAAAAGGAACATCAACTTACAGAACTGCTCATCTTCACAAGAGCCCACCTTGTTTCCAGTTAAATGAATAGGATCCCACCAACTGCAACAGAGGCTGGATAAGGCCCCTGGAGTCTGTGCTCAGAAAGGAAACTACCTAAGCGGGAAGGGCGAGGAGGCAGATTCCTCATGCTCACAGAAAGGGGAAAAAAAGCACACCTTACTTAAAACCAACTCTTTCCACTCTTGCATTTATTTTTCCTAAAAACAGTCTTCGCAAACAAATGTCTTGTTTCTCCTTTCCAACTCAGTGGGACTGCTGCAAGTACTCCATGGCACATGACTCTGGGGAAGCAGAGAAAGTGTCCCACAACTCAGTCATATTTCCATAGGAAAAGCTGACTCATAACTTACATCATCCTTGAAATGCTGATATGGGTTTGTAAGAAGCATCCAAATGACAAGTCCAAGGCACAGTGCTGCAGCCACCTGAGGGCTGACACTGAGGGCTGCCCAGCTCTAGCAGAGCAGAAGACCCTCCTTTGCTGCCAGGCGCTGCCGGTGGATCTTATCCTGCTGCAGCTCCTCATGGTTTGGATGCCAGAGCTTCATGACAATTCTTTCAATGTTTAAAGCATAGACAGTGTGCGCAGGAATAACTTCTTTGTGCACCTGGAAACACAGGTGAGGAAAAAGGTGTCACACTTTCACACACATTTCCCCATGTTGCCCCAGGAATAACCTCCCTCTGCTGCAGGATGTGACCCTGCAGAGTGGGAATGCAGCTGTCACACATGGAGAGCTGCTCCCTGCCAGCACTGCACAACCACCTGTTAACCACTCTGTAAGGGATCTGCATGGTAAGGCTATCATCATTTTGCTCCTGGAGGGACAACCAAGAGTTTGTCATCAAAACCTGAGAAACAACAAGTCTACCTGAGTAAGCACGAGATGAATGCTTGCTAACAGCCCTGTGGTCTGTGTCCACAGCTGTGAGACAAAATCTCAAGGACTGTTCACAACAGCAGAGACCATCGAGGGGGAATTTCTCACAGTGACTCTGACGTTCAAAGCAGTCTGAATGTCCCCAGTGCTGCCAGAGTGGGAGGGAACCACAGGCACACACCTACACTGAAAATTCACCCAGCCAGCCTTAGATAGATGCTTCTGCAGGGTTGGGGTGATCATAGTTAACCCACTGCAGCAGCCTGCATGCCAGGACCAAGTATTCCTCCAATTACCCAGCTGGAACATGAGGAATAAGAAGGGACATGCCAGGCAAGCTACTGTGCTGCAGCACTGTTGAAATCTGCCCAGCTCAGTTCTGATATAATCACTGCAGACTTGCTGCAGCAGAAGAGTTCACCCTCCTTGCATAGCTGTGAGACAGGGATTTCCTCATCATCTCTCTGACCAAGGGAAGCAGAAGAGGCCTTAAACCATGAGCTGACTGTATGTTAACCATTACCTAACAGCAGGAACAAATCAAAGCCAAAGAACTGTAAATATGAGAGGGAAAGAAGAAAAAGGACTGTAGGAGGAGAAACCAAACCCTCCTCTTCATGCACATAAGACTGGCAGCTGGTACTCAGGACAGCACTGCCTGTGACATGAAGGTGTGAGATGAACAGCTCACCTGTAATGCCTCAAAAAGGTCGTACATGTTCACTGGGGGGAGGGAGGCAGGTAGGGTGTCTCCAGAGCAGGCCAGGAGCAGTGCTGCCTGCTGCTCAGCATCGTCGGGAGGGGGCTGGGGAGTCAGGCTCTGACCTGCTGATGGTGTCGTGTTGCTTGGAGGGCTGTGGGCAGAGCAGCAGAAACACATTCCAGTCACAAAACCAGCACCAGCTCTGGGAGTCACCCAGCAGGGCCCCGAGGCTTGCTTTCCTCTATCACCTGACTTAACTCAGGTGTACATTACTTCATCTGTAACTCAAATCTTTACAATTAAAAAATTTAAGTTTTTAACGTTTTAAAATAATTAAATTTACACAATAAAGATCTTTAAAATTCCAGTTTAATAAAAATAGTGCAAATTGATCCCCAATATGCTTCAAAAACCTGCTTAACTGACCTCAACCGTGCAACTTTCGTTATTTACAGACAGCAGTTTTCCTACCCAGCATAAAAATTAAGGCACATACAACACTGAATTGAAAGACTGGCCATTTAGCAGAGCTGTTTGTAGTGCTATAATCAAATATCAAAATACCCATGACCTGTCAACTGCTAGAAGCTGCTACAGACACAGCTGCCTTCTCATACACACACACTGTACAATGCACAGCATGAGCTATTTGACATTGAGACTCCAAACATGATGACCCTGAAGCTCTGCTAACTGGAAAGTCATGTCAAGAAACCACAAATATATTTGGATGCAGGAAATGATGGGAGATGTTAGCGTCCTGCAGGTCATCACTGACACTTCACTGCCATGGCACAACAGCTGTGCCCCCACAAAGGCAAAACTCCTCAGGGCAGTTTGCCCAAGAGCAGCGGAATTCCTAAATGGTGTTTAAAAGTGTTACTAAAGCTTCCAAAAAGCAGTAATAACTAAAAGCATTCAAAGAACTAAGGGTCAAGTACAGGTAAGGAAGAGAGACCTAACACTGTCCTAAAGTCCCCTCCATATTCTCCCTCCCTGTTTAGCTGTATGGTCCCTCCACACCAATACCTTCTTAGCATGTGAAAGCCAAACACCATTATTAACACATTCTACTAACAAAAAGGAGACACTGAACCATGGAGTAAATTCAGGACTAGCAAAATCCACTTAAAATATCAAGTGTGCCAAGAGCTCCTTACCACTCAATTAAATTGTTATAAGCAACAACACTGTTCTTCAGGTAGGGCTGAGGGTTGACATTGCTCCCAAAGGCATACTTGAAATGGCCATCCCTCAGGCGATAGGCTTTCCTCCTGGATATCACAGATGTCAGAATGTCCTTAAGATGGTTCTGTAATGAAAAACAATCTTATTGCACGTGCTGATTTATCCACTCATGGCTAGGTGCCTCACCAATTGGCAAGACAGAAGCAGTGCAGCTATGACCACAAGGATCTAAAGATGGAAGGGGCCCAAGATCTGGACAAGTTACAGTATGTTTTCACTACCTGACAGTTGGATACAGAAAACATGGCACTGTGTGAGTACTGTATACATCAGCCTGTGAACTGCACTTTCATACCTGATGCACTGCCTCAAATGTCAAAGGGGTTTCTTAAATGCTAGGAAATTCCCAACCTCTTTGATAAAGGGTTAAGAATTCATAACTGGCAACAGATGTTACATTACACTTGAACTGAAATTCAGGCCCTGAAACGACAGTGATAAGCCACTCACTCCTCTTCTTCAGTTGTTTGAAAAGCACTGGAAAAGCAACTGCCTGAAACAACAAGCAAGCAACTTCTTAATTTGGCCTCATTCCCAGATGGGAATTCAGGTTGGTCTCTACATCCTGAGTGCAGAAAACCATTCACACATCTATGCTCCAAGTAGTGGCCGTGTCATTCCTGGGATATGTCAAATGATGCACCACCAATGGCCAAAACCAGCAGGTCCTTCACCTGCAGGGATCACCTGACCCCATCAGTTCACATCCAGGCCAGACACTTGTGCCTACCATGGATTACTTTCTATAGCAGTGTTCAAATTGGCATTCCCATTCTGTCCCTGCTTTTAAGTGACAGCAACAGCTTTATCCAGAACAGTTACTTAAGCGAGTTCCTCATGTGCAAGTACTTCAAAATTAACATTTGCAGGCAGAAGTCCAAGACTTCACATCTAGGACCCCACAAATTGAAAGTCTTTTGACTTTCACCTTACTCCGAGGTGAATGGGCAATTAGAGAACAATCAGAGAAGCAGATTTCCTCCCCACACTGAGGAACACCACCCCACACTGCACACAGAGCCTTTTGCTGCTGGAGTCATGAGGCACCACTGCTGCCCTGCCTGGCCTCACCTCTACAGCATAAACAACAGCAGTCACTGCCTCCTCTGTGACATTGTCCAGCCCATGCTCGTACGCAGTGACGATCATCCTTCCTTCTAACTGGCCACGTGTTGGAAGCATCATGGTGTGAGAACACAGCTTCAAATCATCATCCTCCTGAGGATCCTTTGCCACGAACTGCTGGGCTCCTGACAGTGGATTCTGAGGCTGGAACCGGTGCTGTCATGAACACAACAATAAAGCACAAGATAATATTCATTATTATCCCCTTTGGATCATCAAGAGGACATGCCTTCTCCAGTCAGAAATCATGCACCTACAAAAATGTACCACAGAGTGACAATCCTCCCCAGGATACTCTCCCAACCCACGATGACGTGTGACTCAAGAAATTTTTAAGTCAGTGCTAGTGTCCTTTTATTGAACAGCCCATGAACTTGTCCAGCAGTATTTCAAACCACCTGGACTATGGGTATCCACAACATACTGCAGCAAGAAATTCTACAGTGTAACAATACACCACATGAAGAGTCACCTGCTCTGCATCTCCCACCTGCTAGATTCATTTGAATCATAGAATCAACCGGGTTGGAAAAGACCTCCAAGATCATCAAGTCCAACCCTACCGTGGTTACTAGACCATGGCACTAAGTGCCACATCCAGTCTCATCTTAAAAGCCTCCAGGGATGATGAATCCACCACCTCCCTGGGCAGCCCATTCCAATGCCTGATCACTCTCTCTCTAAAAGATTTCTTACTAATATCTAACCTAAACCCCCTGATTCTCCTGTAAGTCCCAGATGTGGTCAGACACTGTCTCTCTTATCTCCTTTCACATTATTCAGGCCAGTGGCTGGACTTTCACATCTCCCAGACACATCATTCTATGCTGAAGAATTCTTGCCTATTTAGTAATTTCTTGCACAGAAGGGTATATTTTTGCTCACTAACTGTATAGTTTCCATCAAGATTAAAAACCAAGATCATAATCTTCTGTGTTTAAGCGATTCTTACATCTCTCTAAAGCTTAAAACTTAGCCCAATCCAGTTCTGAATTTCATACTCTAGTTTCCCTATGCACTTTCACTGCTCGAAGCAGAGTTGCACTACAAAGCAGCCACTTGATTCCAAAGTGAATTATTTTTCAGAACTGACTCTGTTATTTATAGACAAAAAACCATCACAGAACAGGAATTCACACCAGAAGGTACCAACCCCTATTTCCCAGACCACATGTATTCCACGACAATTCCCTTGGTATGTCTCAAGTTCTGAGTGCCTATGGTGGCTCCTTAGTCCCCAGACAAAAGGAAGAACAAAGCAGATGGGAATAATTCATCCTTGAGCCCAGACACATGCTTGGCCAAGCCCTAACCCACAAGGGAACAAGGTTCATCATGTATTCCCACAACTCCTCCAAGCCACAAATCCAGTGGCTCTGGAACTGAGATTGCTGTAAGGCTCTTATGGAGCACCAGGACAAACACATATTTAAATATGAACATCAAATATACAGCAAAGTGGATTTCTCATATCTCAGTTTCAGGGGAGAAAGGGGGGCTGCTTTACTCAAAGGACAGAGTGGCATTTAACTCAGAGTGAAAAACCAATCCACCCACTACTGATGTGAGAGCAGGTTTCCCTCCCCATCATTCTGAAGACTCATGGTTTCATTACAGGAAAGCCACACGCCTGAAAAAAAAAAACCCTTCAAAATGTAAGTGACTCTCAAGACGAATGTGGTTTGGGAGAGCAGAAGCCAACTGGAATGAACCTGTGGTCATACATGGCTGTTATTCTGACCAGTGAGGGAAACATTAGGAAATACCAAGGCACTTCCAAAATTCACACTACTTAGGAAATCCACTAGTAACAGACAAGTGCAATAATCACAACATAACACTTCATACAGTACTCACTGCCAAGCATTCCTGAACACGTGCATAAAAACACACTAGAAATCTGGTATATCACGGGGTATTGAGTAAACTAAATTCTTAGACTTCCACTGCATCACAACTTGCTCTCCAGCTCTCATCTACTTGCTGCTGAGAAGTTACAGAAGCTTTCAAACAGAAAGGTAGCACAGCCTGCTACTGGAATTCAGGTTGCCGCTGTGAACAATGCGAAGTATTTCCACAGTTTCTAAATAATGAACCTTCAGCTGGACTCACATCCCTCTGGAACACTACAGCCTCTGAAGCATGCACACACAGTGCCTAACTCGAGTCCCTAGAAGGACTTGGCTGAGCCAAGCTCACCTCTCTCAGTGTAGGAGTGGAAGGTTTCATATGCCCATTTGTCCTCCCTAGCCCCTGCTCCCTATCCCCAGTGGCATTGCCACACATCCAACTGCAATCCAGCAAGTAAAACTTGGGGTTTGGGAGCTTTTTTTGCTTAAGTTTTTTTGCCTGTCAGCAAACTGGATCAGATGTGCTCAGACACCTGATGAATCTGGCTCAGTAAGAGACAGACACTCTCCCTTTCACACACTGTTCACTCAGTTTGATTCACCTTAGCAAAACCTGCCTGTTTGACAGTGCCCCATGCCAAATCTGTCACACCAAGCTCCCTCCACACTGGTCTGGCAGCACAGAAACAACTGCATAACAGACCTGTGACAGTACCAGATAAAGGTACAGAGACTTTGCTGCAAAGTGAACTGGATCCTGCATGTTTCTGTGCCATCCACCAGAAGACAGCATCTTTGCAAGGCATTTTCAACTCAAAACAGCTTGACCTTCTAAAAACATTCCACCCAAGGAATATCACCTTTGGACTGCAGAGTTAATCACAGAATTCTACTTGACTGCCTGAATAAATGGGAAATCACTTGCTTTAAGAATTGGCACATGTGTAAAGTGAACCATAGATACTTACATCAAACTTCTGGCGAACCGAAGAAATCTTTTTCTTTCCTTTGGGTTTTCCAGGTTTAGTTGCAGAGCCACCTGGCCATGGTAGAGATCCAGCACCTTCTACAAATGGAAAAGAAAGAAAAAAGCCCACTCTGTTGGTGTTGCTAATTTAGGGCCAGGATGAAACTGTCCATACAGGAAAACCCTTAACATTTGTCTCCCAGCTAAGCCTCAACCTAAAATCAACGGCCATAGCCCAGAGGAAGGTCTGAGGGGAGAGCTTTTGGAGAACCTTCTCTCCCTTTGTCAGCCTCCTGCTGGTTTGACTCATTCATGATACATGATTTAAGTAGAAATTTCTTTCACACACCACATGAAAACCCATGGCGCAAGAAGAGAGATATGCACAGCCTGCAAGGAAAGCCAAGAGGAAAGAACAGGTCATTTGTTCCATTAGGAAGATGCTAACAGCTTTCCCAGAGGTGCATTCTCCTCCCACCAACTCCTGGATCAGATCAGATGCTAACCATCTGGACTGTGCAGTCTGACTCCTCAGATCCCCATCTGCTTTAGGAAGCTTTGTCATGGTGTGCTGGTTTGAAAGCAAACC